ACTTTGAGGCTGTGAGTTTCTAAGTCTGACCACAGAGCTGCCCCTGGGACATCTACATGTCTGAGGTTCACTTTCCCTGTCTGTTCCAGGCTCCTTCCTCCTCCTCAACACCTCAGCAGACTCCAAGCACACCATCCTGAGCCCCTGGATGCGGAGCAGCAGTGAGCGCTGCACACTGGCCGTCTCGGTGCACAGGCACCTGCAGCCCTCGGGGAGGTACGTTGCCCAGCTACTGCCCCACAACGAGGCCGGAAGAGAGATCCTCCTGGTGCCCACTCCAGGGAAGCACGGGTAAGTTCTCTCCCATGTCCAGAATTGATTTTGTAAGATGTGATTTGACTTTTGACTGCAAATTTCCAGAGTCTGTGACATCTACTTTTAATTCACATTGTCCTTTTTAATGTGTAGGTCCAGACTGAGCCATTTCTGCTAATACTGCCTAGGTAGTGTCTTGGGTATTGATCTGTGGGTGCCTCTGCCCACCCCAGCTAGTAGTCCTTCAGAGGCTGGAGGACCAGCTGTCAGAGTGGGCACTGAATGAGTGGATGTTAAAAGTATTCATCCCCCGAAGTTCAGACACAGCCAAGAAGAAAACAGCTCCAGGGAATGTTAAAAGGCCAACATTAAAGTAATTTAATATGCTGGGAACTAGGTTTTACCAGCAGAACTTGAGCAGGAAAGGAAAGGACTAAATATTTTGGCCACCTAAGCTGGCCTTATTTGAAAGTGTGGGACCCCAGGGAGGAATTAGTCAGGGATGCTACACCAGTGTCAGCTCAGCAGAGCCTGGAACGGAGCTTCGTTCTAGAACGTCCATGGTACGTGACAGCAAGACCCCCTAAGCTTTCTAGATATTCTTGCTTACTGTACAAATAGTAAGTAACATTGCAAAGCAAACTTGAACTAGGGCATTCCTGTGCTTGCCTTTTCCCATTCCATAAATATAGATACCATCTTTTGACCCTGGCTTTGCAGGCCCCCAGATCTGATTATGTCTTCAACAAGGGTGAGGGATCCTTTTTCATGACATGTTTAGAGAATTATTCCAATTGTCTGGCTATGCTTAGACTTAGGTATCTCTAAGAAAGACATTTGCAGAGGGTCCCACCTGAACAGTGGTTGTTCTCCATCTTCTGAGTCCATGGCTCACAGAGGGAGAGCCTGCCTGTTAATTTTCCAGGAAGCCTCGATGACCTCCTCAGTGATATCTTGAAAGTTTCCTCCCCACACCCTGCTACTAATGCACCTGTATTTAATAAACTAATCACAAGCCACTGCAAACCCAGCAGAAATAATATCTTGGCCTCAAACAGAATGCTCACCCCATTCCGAAACTCATATTGGCTCTTCTCACCTCTGAATGCCTCTCTGGGCTGGCAGGGAGGGTCCCAGACACCCAGTGCCTCCTGCTCTGTTCACCAGGAGATATGAGGAACGTTGGGTGTCTGGACTGCCCACTGTTTGGGATGAGCTGTCCCCTGGCACCACGCCGCCCTCCAGTGCAACCTCCCTTCCCAGCAAGGAGCCCAGATGAGAAGGCCTCCCTTCCGGGGGTGGGTCTGTGCTGATTCCGATAGGCATTTGCACAACCTCACGAGGAGTTGCTTATTCTGACTTAATGCTCTTGACTTTCCTTCCCCACCAGCCTGGCAGAAACCAGGGGATGCTGCTTGGGGCTGCTGAGCCTGCAGGTGACCTACTGATCCCTTACAGAGCTGGTGGGGAGGAACCATTGATGTCCCAGGGGGAAGTGGAGCTGGAGAGCTCCCCACAGGGCAGGCTGGGACTCTGTGAATGTGGGAGGAAAGGTTGCACCACCTGCCTGGTGGTGCCTGTTTCCCAGACGCCAGACTCCAGGTCTCTGTGATCGTAAGCGGCGTGGCCAGAAAAGAAGCGTCTCCTCAGGCCTGATTATCCACAGGGCTGTGCACGGGGGTTTCCCTCTTTACCTTCCTACGCTCCTAACTACCAACTGAACTCCCATTCAACAGAGAGAAAACTGGGGCAGAGAGAGGCCATAGGAAGGGACTCGGTCCAAACTGGACTCCAGGTCTCCCTGCTCCTTGTTTGTGCTCTTCTCAGGAAACCCAAATCTCTCAGTAAGAACTCGGGGGGAGCAGTAGGGCTTGAGAAAGGGAAGAGGGAAGGTGAAAGCACCTTGCAAAGACAAAAAGGAGGAGTCAGATTCTTTGGTCGCTCAAGATAAATAAGCCCAAGGTCATGTGACTTTGGCACCATCAAGGGCAGTCTCCCCTCCACAAGTGGTGAGAACGAGGAGGAGGTGTGGGCAGGCTGCCATGGCCCCAGGTGTCAAGGTCTAGCCTGCTAGCCAATCCACTGTATTCCCAAGGTGACTCTTCCTTCATCCGAGGAGTTGCTCTGCCCTCCAGAGGGAATGAGATTAAGTGGGGCAAATCCAGTGACTGATGGCTTTGCCAGACACTACCCCTCCATCTGTCTTAGGCCCAAGCGTTGTGCATCTCAGGCAGGGCACCTGCCCCAGCCCTGGCAGAGCCATGGAGGCGCTGAGTGATAAGCAAGAGTGATTCCAAGTTTAAAGATGCCTGGGCCATACTCCCCCTCCATGGAGATCAATGTGAGGAGGGTAGAAGGTAGCAACTGAAAGGTCAATCAATAGACTGTCCCCAATCCCCAACCATCCTGCACCCCAGGGACTGCTGCCCTGTGTGCCTTGGCAAGATGTGAGACACAAGGCACCTGCCCGGCTAATCTGAGCGCAGTGGGTATTTGCACAGAGCTAGTTTCTCAGCCTCAGCACCATTGACAATTTGGATAGAACAGTTCTTGGCAAGGGCTGTCCTATGCATTGTCCCAACATCCCAGGCCTCTGCCCACATACATGCCAGTGGCCCCTCCCCCAGTTCTAACAATCAAAAATGTCTCCAGACATTGCCAAATGTCCTCTGAGAGGCAAAATCTCTCCCATCCAATACGACTGAATTAGGTACAGCATTTCAGAGCTGGGAAGAGCTGTGGGATTTACCTCATCTGGCCTCCTCAATTCACAGGGGTAGGAACAGAGGCCCAGGAGGGGAAGTCCTATCTAGGGTGCCATTTTTGGTAGATGAGCATCTCAAGTCCTCCATTTATGCATCTGGGCCACTCCCTGTATTAGTCAGGGATGCTACAGTATCCTGAGTTACAAAGATATATAAGGCCCAGTCCCTATCTACATTCAGTTACCACTTCTTAGCTCTCCTAGCCAGTCGCTGCTGTGCACTTCACAGGCATCTTCTTTTCGAATACTTACAACAATGCAGTCTATGAGGTTATTGTTACTCTCTCCCATTTTACGGATAAGGAGACTCAGTGAGGCCAAACAGCCTGCACGAGCTCACAGGCAGACGAGTTGAGAGGGTCCCACAGCCTGACTCCAGACTCCTTCCATCCACTGCCGTAAGAGCTCAGCAAGGCCATAGTAGGCAGCAGAACAATCTCTCCACCAGGAATGGAAAGTCCTGAATTTAAGTCCCAGCTCATCATCCATGAGCATCATTTGAGTGTTTCGTATTGGTTAGGACCATGGAGGTGCCGGGCACACAAACAGCCAGGCCCTCTACTAGGGAAGTTCCATGAACAGGCTCTCTGGCTTCAGGCAAATCCTATCCCCCCTCAAGCCTCAGTTTCCTATCTGTAAAATGCCCACTTGCTGCTGTGAGGTCCATGCAATAAGGACAGAGGGTTTGGTGCACTCTGAGTATAGTGCAAACATATGGGCCATTGTTTAATATCCTAATCAGCTTTGTTCTGCTCAGAGTTTGGGACCACAGAGGATTGCAATTTATCTGCTCTCTGCAGTCCTGAGACTGCCAGTCTCGAGAACCTTTGGATTTGAGATATTCAGCAGCTTGTCTCATAGAAAGCTCACTCCCTCTCATGTCAGAGATGACCTCAGTAGCATGGGGCTCGGAGCAGCGAGGGGCCCGGTGACATCCAGTGATGCTGGCTGTGATGATGACAAGCTGGGCTGGTGTGTTCTCATAACAGAAGATGGTGGTTTGGGGACCTCTGTTTGGAAAACAACATTTGTTGTTTGTACTAACAAGGCAGGAAGTTGTAATAATAAAGGTGGCTGGGGAGAGCCTGACTCAGAGGAGTGGGCTGAGGAATGACAAGTCAGACGCCACTGGGTCCCCCAGAAATCTGAGTCGTGAGCACGCGGTGCCGCTGCCGTGCTGCCTCTCGGGAGCAGCCGCCTGCTCAGAAGCACTCAGAGGCAGGGGGAAGGCAGTCGGGGAATCACAGCAGCTGCTCCCTTCCAGGTTGCCTGGAAAGCAGCGGAGTGTGTGCGATCTAGCGAATCACAGAGCGTGAGTGCCGCGTCTGCCAGGCAGCCGGGCTTCGGCAGGGGTCTCTCAAGGGATAGTCAGATGAGCTTATCTGCCCAGCCAGAATGACCATGGAAGAAACAAAGCTGAGAAAGCAGGGATTCCACAGTCTGGCCCAGCTAGCCACAGTATCATAAAGGCGTGGGACACCTTAGCTAGAAATTAGTGACCTCAAAGTCCCCACAGGCTGAATGATTATAATACCTATTGAATCTGGTGAGTGGGGAAATGACATAAGGAAGATGGCTCTCATTGTGCCTGATGGTAGAAGCTACTTGATAAACTTAGATCCTTTTCAATTCGTACTGGTACGTTCACTTAACCCTGAATTGAGTGCCTCTCACGTAATAGGTGCCAAAGACAGCATAGCTGAGGATGACAAGGTCACGGTCAGACACACCCACTGCACCTCACTGCCATTCTTCTGCCTTTCAGAAAGGCCTATCCAGCAGCAATGGGCTGGGTGAAATCAGTGCCCTCTCGGCTTAAGAGTTGTTGGCGTTTTGGTCTGTAGGGGCAACTCTCCTGCTCCGGAGGTCTGCCTTGAATCTTGTTTCCCCTCCAACCACACTGCTTTCTGTTGGAGTCCCAGCTATCTGGGGACTTTATTATGTGTGACCAGAACTCCACAGTGTGCGGAGGGAAGAATTGGGCCTTGAGGGGATAGAAGTTGCCAATCATCTGAATTACTAGTACTTGAAAAGATATTTTTTATCCAAAGGATTTGGTGATACTCAGGGTTGAGCCAAGATAAGCTGTCAGGGGCATTTCAAAGTGCAAACAAGCCTCATTCCAGAGGGTGATGGAGAACTAAAATTCCCTTTGGTGGAAAGCCTCACTCTTCTGTAGGCCCTTAACCCCTAGACCCAGAAATGTTTATCTCCCTCCACCTCCCACCTCCCCCACCCCCGTCAGTTTCCTGATGGGGAGGGGTGATGTGAC